AACCACTGCAAGGAGCCTCTAGGGAGCTCTTCCCTCTCCTCTTCTTCCTCCTTTTCTTCCTCCTCCTCCTCTTCTTTCTCTTCATCTTCTACCTCCTCCTCCACCTCCATCTCCTCCTTCTCCGCTCCTCCTCCTGTGCCTCTTCCTCCTCCTCCTGCTACTTTTCCTCCTCCTCCTCTTTCTCCTTCTTTTCTTCCACCTCCTCCTTTTCCTCCTCTGCCTCTGCCTCCTTCTCCCTTTTTAAATTTGCTCCCATGTTGGGGATTGAACCCAGGGTCTCACACTGCACAAGGTCCCTGTCCTGCTACTGAACAACCCCTTCCACCAGGGAGCTATTTCATCTGACCTCCTGAGGTAAAGAAAGACCCAGTGAGATGGTTGAATGAGAGTGGGTGCTTACTCGGATTCCACCCAACACTTCCAATTGCTCCTCAGAAAGGCTGCACCAGCCCTCACTCCACTGCAGGAAAATGATTCCCCATTTTCTCACTCACTGCCACCAAATGGCAGTACCCAGCTTCCTGCTGTTGCCAGTGCTGAGGCAGGCACTGGGTCTCACTGTGGCTCTCACTGGCATTTCTCTGAATCCTGAGCATCTCTGCACGAGCTACAGCCTAGAAGCTCCTGCCTTTCCCATCCTGTGCCCTGCTCTCTGTGACTCCTCCACCTTCCTCCTCTTCCTGTGTGTTAACCAATACATCATGTGCCGGAGCCTGGGAGCCACGGAGACTTCTGGATGTCTCTGTTCATTTCTGCTCTCACCCTTTATTTACATTTCACAGCATAAATGAGTTCCTGAGTTCTCTGGTGGAGGAAGCCCTCAGCTGCACCAGCCCTCACTCTGCCCCAAGGAAGGTGCTAGAATGCTAACACCTTCCCTGGATTCAGCACTTCCAGTTTTCCAGTAACAGAGAAAACTTACTGAGTGAGAGATTTGTCCCACTTGATCTCTGTAACCTCTGCAAGGGACGGGCTGTTATTATGTTGGAGGACAGATGAGAAACTGAGGCACATAAAGGTTGAGTAGCATGCCCAAAGTCTGTAGCTAGTAAAAGTGACCCAGCTGGGATGTTATCCATAGCTTAGCTCATGTTAGTGGGCCTCAACTAGTGTCTATATCAAATAACTGCTCTTTCCTAGGTTTCTAAATATTGGAATTTAATGAAAGAGTCAACCCTGGTGGTACCTTTGTGCTTTCTGAGTCCCTGATGTCTAACAAGGGAAAAAGAGACTGGAGACTGGGGGCTGAGTGGCTGAGCCCAACAGTCTGGGTTCCTAGGAAGAAAAAAATAAAGGGCATGTTTAGTGAGAGATTCCCCCAAGCCTGTTCCTCTGGGATGGTCTCTGATGGGCACAGACAGAAGCATGGCCTTCTCCCAGCAAGGCATGGCTCTCCCTGGTCTCCATGCTTAGCATCAGCAGGAAACCCTAACTGCCTGTGCTCCAGGTGCTCCATGAGCAGGAACTGTGGGGAAGATATTGCTTGTCATGGAGAGAAGTGCTTTGGATGAGGGCTTTTCGGGAGGGACCTGTCTGGTACTGGGGTGGCATCCATGAAAGCATGGCTTCCCCCAAGAAGTGATGTTAGGGTGGTAATAAAGAGTGAGAAGATAACTAGGAAAAGAGGAAGAACTTCCCAGGAAGAGGGGAAAGAATATGCAAAGGCTCTGAGGCAGAGAAAAACAGAGAGGAACCAGTAACCAGTATGGCTGGAGGGAGAAGGCAGGAGTTGAGTGGTATGTGAGGAGGCTATGGAGGACTAAAAGCCCAGGACAGAAAAGCTCCCCTAATCCTTTCCTCATGTATCACAATAAGTAATACCCCTTTCAAATTTTATTTATTTTGTTTTGATTTTTTTTTTGAGGCGGGTCTTACTACACAGCCCAAGTTGGTCTGGAGATAAGAGCTTCCCATCTCAGCCTCTTGGATGGGTGGTGGCATTACTAGCTTGCTCCACCATGCTGAGTGTAACACACTTCTACTACAATTTTCCTTTTCATGTTTAATAATTATCTACCCAAATTCATGTTATATGTAGAATTTCCCTTTGCATACCATTAGTAATTATTATAGTCACACAATCCTAAATCAAGTTTTATGGCCCTAAGAAAAAAACAAAGTTAACACAGACTTATGTCTTTGTTGAAGTTCACATAACAAATGAGGTGATGAACAAGGAAGTTGAATTAGGGATACATTAGGTAGGATGAAATTTTGTTGGCCAGGTTGTGAAAACCTTGGAAAGAGTGAAGGACACAATATAAATTTTCTGACTGCTAAAGAGAAACTTGTCTGCATTTTTAAGAGTAATGTGGTGATTTTGCATTTTTTGTATTTATGTTTCACTGAATACATTTTAAAAAGAGTTATAATAGCTTTACAGATAAAGGCCAATACCAAGTTTTTGATTGAAAAACCATTCTAGATGTCAACTTAAAAATGTGTACAGTGAGCTGGGTTTGATGGCACAGGCCTGTGATCCAGCTACTGGAAAGATGGAGGAGGAAGGATCACAAGTTCGAGGCCAGCACAACCCAGAGAAAGTTAGGGAGACCCTGTCTCAAAAACAAAATACAGACAAAAGGTATGGGGACATGGCTCAAGTGCTGGAGCGCTTGCCTACCATGGGTTCAATCCCTAGCACTACAGGGAAAAAAAAGTGTAAGACATTTTATTTAAAACAATTATTAAGGGGGTGTCAAAACAGTGTGAGGCCCCAGTGTAGATCAAGGACTCTTAGGGGTGATGACAGAGAGCAGGAGGAGGGAGCACAGGGACTGGTATGTTCCCTTCTGTTGGCTGGGTTATGGCTTGGTGTGGCTTATGAGGGGGACACAAGCCCCAAAGGACAAGAATTTTGATTCTTCTGGCTGTTACTGTCTCCCCAGCATCCACCTTGCACAGGCACACAGCAAGCATTCAACTCCCTGAATGAATGGCCGGATTCTTACTATGTGCCAGGTACTGTGGCAAGGGCTGCCCACACATGCCCACTTAGTTCTCACCACCACCCTCCAGTCGGTCCAGTGAGGATTCCCACTTCAGAGGTGAGGAAACTAAGGCACAGAAAGAATTCATAACCTGCTCATGGTCACCAATCAAGGAATAGTAGATTGGGACCCAGGCATCCAGGTGAGAGCCCTTACAAGTGATGTCTCTCTGCACCTGCGGTCCCTAGGATTGAGTCTTTGGTTCTGAATTTCCAGAGCTAGCACTTGGGAGCACTCCGTGAATGTGACCCACCTCCACAGCCTCATAGACAGCTTTCTACAGTCTGCTGTCTCCTCCTAAGTGCGTTTCCTTCTCTCTCCCTGCTCAATATTTAAGTCGCACACATCCTGGGACTTCCCAAGCCCCGTGTCACTGACCTACTTACCTATCCAACCGTCCTTTCTCACAGTGGGGGAGGGCAGCAGTGGGAGGCACAGGGGGTCTCTGGAAGGAAGGAGAATGGAGAGAGTGGGGACCATCACACATCACACCAGGGCTCCTGTGTTGCTGACAACACAGGAGCATTACTAAAACAAGGTCAGACTTCCTTTGCCAAGGGATTGCTATAGGACAACACTGATCCTAAGAGGCTCTCCAAGAAAATAACTCCATCCTCTGCCCCAAAAAAGGGCCTCCAAACTTTTAGCTGTGTGTCTGTGGGGGCGGGAAGGAGGGGTGTTTCTTCTGTTTATAAAGGGAACTTGGAAGGCACAGGGGGACTCTTACCTCCTGGTAGAGAGGTGAGCAGATCAGATCAAGCAGCCTGTCAAACATCTCTAACCAGACCCCCCCACCCCCAACAGGACAAGCAGAGAGCACCCTTTGCCAGGTGCTCACCTAGTCTCCAGGGTACCCTGCCTACTAACAGGTGCTCCTAGTGGCCCCACAGGCCCAGGACTGCTACTCCTTTGAGACTCACCTCACTTGTCCCCCTTTCCTTTGTTCCCATGTCACCAGACTGAGAGTGCACAGGACTCAGGACTGCTAGTGGCCCCTGCACTAGGCTGCAGGAGGGATGGTGGGGTGCAAAGGTGTCTTCCCCAGGATCTCTACCCCCGACAGCACTTTCTGCCTTCATTCACATCCTCTCGGGCCATTTCAGGGACACTGAGGCTTAAAGAATTCTATGACTTGCTCAGATGCTCAGAGCAGCTTGGGCAGGGGACAGAACACAGCACTGGCCTCTGCCTCCTCACCCGTGACCCGGACCCTTCTGAGGGACCCCTGACCCTTCTTCTTAGGGTCCTGATCCCGTTTTCCTGCACCCCTGCCTCTTCTCCCCCCCGCCCAGGTTCCCAGGGTGCCACCAAGTGCCAGGGCGCGGGGTCTGGGTAGAGTGGAGGCGCTGCCGCGCCAAGACGAGGATGGGAGGCGACGGTTCCCTCCCCTCGGCGACAGCGCAGGTGGGCGGAGGCCGAGAGCCCCAGCCCCCCGCCCCCGCTCCGCGCTGGCCGTGACGTCAAAGGAGGACCGGGTAAACCCGGCGGTGGCTGGGCGCTGGGGCGGAGACTGCGAGCCGGAGCCGCGGGGACCGACGGACGGAGCCCACGGCGGCGCAGGCGGAGGACCCGACAGGCGGCGGCAGGCGACCCCAGGTACGCCGAGCCCACTCCCTGCCCGCAGGCGCAGCGGGGCGGGGATCGGGGCCGGGGAGCACCGGAGAGACCCAAAGCAGCGCGCGTGGGATCTGGGGACCCCCGGGAGGCTGGGCGCGGGGCGCACGGAGCGCGGGGTCCGCGGCGCTTTCCCACTCTCAGATGGAGGCGCGGGACCCTCGGGCGTGGCTGGGAGCGGGACAGCGCCCCGGGTCCCAGTCGCGGCCCCGACGGCGCTGGCGGGTGCTGCTTCCAGACAGCGCAGGCACTCGCGGGGACAGTCTCGGGCCACCGCTGTGCGCGACTTCCTGACCCGCGTGGCGCGGCCGGGCGAAGTCTGCGCACCGGGGCCGGGGGCTTCCCCGGCGGTCACTGTCGCTCACCGCACGCTGCGCCCGCAGCCGAGCCCCAGCCATGTCCCTGAGCGAGCTGGCGCTGCTGCGCTGGCTGCAGGAGAGCCGCCACTCGCGGAAGCTCATCCTGTTCATCGTGTTCCTCGCTCTGCTGCTGGACAACATGCTGCTCACCGTCGTGGGTACGTACTGCCTGGCAGCCCCTCCCGGGCACCCCTGCTGTCCCCCACTCAGCCCAGCGCCTCGCGGGGAAAGCTGGGGAACACGCTTTGCAAAAAAAAAAAAACAAAAAAAAAAAACAGCCCCTCAAGACAGCTGCGCTTGTGGCTTTGCTTTCCTGGTGGCCAGGTCAAAAACTGTGACATCCGATAACACCCAGAACTTATGTTTCCTCCTGATAATTTCCTACTTCCCTTTACTGCTTTCACTGCAGTGAAAGATTTCTGTGAAGGAGTAGCCATTCTCAAAGTTCAATGCTTTAGAGTAAGTATTATGCTCCTCAAAAAAGTGGGTAACAACTGAAGGAAGGAACAGACGCCCTCTCTTAAGAAGTCACATTTAAGTGTATTGTGTCAGTGACTGACCAGATGGAGACATCTCAGGACCCAGTCCAGTGGCAGAGCAATTGGAACAATGTTGGTTTTATACTTTTTGCTCAAATGGATTTTTGAAAAATGATGTAATTGAGAATCAGATCTCTTAATTAGTCTCATTAACAGAAAAATATGTGACATGCTTTTTCTTAGGATTGCCTCAGTTTTCAATGAATGGAAAAATCATTTTTTGTCCCACTATAAGTGTATGGGTGGTGTCCTTTCTTCCCCTCTGCAGGTTGTCTCAGGGCAGCTCTGAGAGCATCCTTCAGGTTTTCAGTTCAGGAGTGTCAGAACTGTGGGGCTTTTCCCCTTTCATGATCAAGGACCTCAGCTCCCCTTTTCTTGGGTGAGCTGTGTGCCCAAAACATCTGTTCTATTAAATAGTTTTCCTTTTCTTTTATGAAAGTCAAAGGAATTCTTAAATCTTACAAGTTGCATGGAAAATCACAGCTTCCTGCTCACAGAACAGACAGACAAAGCTGACCTGAAGCAGAGTCTCCAATTTATTACTTCCTGCAGTTTTGGCTTTTTTTCTGAGGTGTGTGATGTATTGAAAATTTCCGTTTCCCTGCCTCATTCATTCAGAAATCTTCTGAGAAGCACTGGCTGCCCCAGGTCAGCGCTAACTTGACTTCAGACTCAATTTTGCTCTTTTATTAGCACCACGCTCTAACCAACTGAGCGAACCAGCCACCTAATTTTGCTCTTTTAACACATTCTTGATAAGGAATGCTGTAATGAGAAAGCCCACAAATGACAAAAATCCAGGGCCAGTGCCTCAGATACAACAGCTGCTCCTTAGAGTAGCTGGTCCCCGGGTGGGGCTTTGCTTTTCCCTGGTGGACTAAGCACTGTGAAATTGTCCAGTGTGCATCTGTGTGGGTGTCAGGCATGGGTGACCTGCTCCTGCAGTATATATGCCTGTGCTTTGGGCCTCACTTGGATTTTGACATGACCTTAGTTTTGCTGGCATCTGTCTTGGGGAGTGTTCCAGTGTGATTACCACCTTCTTGTTCTGCTCTTGCCCAGTTCCCATCATCCCGAGTTACTTGTACAGCATGAAGCATGAGAAAAATGTTACAGAAATTCAGACTGCCCAGCCAGTGCTCACGACCTCCACCTCAGGAAGCTTCCAGACCATCTTTTCCTACTATGACAACTCTACTATGATCACCAGGAATGCCACTGGCGACCTTCAGGGGGGGCAGCCACATAAGGTCACTACCACACAGCACATGGTGACCAACACATCCACTGCCCCTTCTGACTGTCCAAGTGAAGACAAAGACCTCCTGAATGAAAACGTGCAAGTTGGCCTGCTGTTTGCCTCCAAGGGCCACAGTCCAGCTCCTCACCAACCCTTTCATAGGACTGTTGACCAACAGGTAGGCTATGTGACTTTAGTCTGAGAGTTTTTAGACTTATCGCCCATGGCTTATTTTCTCCTGCCACCTGCTTCTTATTCATCTGTTAGAGTCTAAAGAATCCATGGCAGGTGGGCTGGGGAAAACTCACTCTCCTGACTCTTGTCTCTGCCCTCAGTAGTGAGGATTTCCCATTCGTTCCACACTTCCATCCTCTCTGCTCTTGCTCAGAAAGTGCTAAAATAGAAAAGATGGCAGAATAAAGACAACAAAACTGTCTAAATGCCAGATTTCATAAGTATACTTGTCACTATTGCCCATGAATGGCAGGATCTCTGCAGCCACCATGGCCATCCGAGATTTTTGTGGGCCATGTGGCTTTCTCTCCCTTGTCTTCCACCTCTCTCTGGTCACGCAGCTGCTTATAGAAAGCTGAGGTTGTTTCTTTTAGAACTGGCATGGTGAGGGATCTCATAGGTGCCCAGATGGGGAATAGGGGGAGAGATGGGTGGTACCATTGCACGGATTGAGCTCCTAGCCAATGCTGAAGCCCAGGACCATGTCCTTTTCCTTTCTGCTGGTTACTGATCTGTGTCCATGAGAACAAAGGGAAGAGAATTGAGGCTACCATCCAAAGAATCCAGGCTGCCCAAACTAGCTTTATAGTAACCTGGATGTTCTGGCTTATTTTGGACCTGCATTATTTGGAATAATTGTTCATTTCTCTGTTGTTGGTAATCATCCAGCAAGTATGGGTACTTCTGCAGCTGAGGTAGCCCAACTGTGCCTTGTATATGGGGGTCTCAAAGCACAGGACACTGAGCTTGTGAGCCATCCTCAAAGGTGTCAGCTGTAAGGAGTGGGAACCAGTAGAGTTGGTGTGTGTATGTGTATGTGGTGTGTGGAGGGGTAGCTTCACAGGCACAAATGAAAAATGCTAGAAAGGGGAGGGTTCAGAATCCTGCATCCCAGAATACTCCCTTGTTAACAAAGACAAACAGTAGAGATGGGCAAAAGAACATGGTGGGGGGAGGGGTGAACTAAGGGCAGGGCTGGGGAGGGGGACCACTGGGTGAGGCTATGAGGCTACAGAAGGAATAGGGTTTGTTATGGGGGTGGCTAATTGGGAGCCACCTGATATTCTAAAACCCAGTTAAAGAATAAGTGAGCCAAGCAGTGAGAAGGGGGGAGCAGGAGTGTCTACTTAATTTGTGGGGCTACTCAATTTGTGTGCATAGTGCAAAGTGAAGATGCAGACCCCTTATTCAACTGTTATTAAGCATTTGAAGATGACAGTGACAGCACTGAACTAGGCAAGGGCCTCTCTAAGAGGGGAGTCCTATGCTTCTCTGGGGTTGGGGATCTGTATGCTGAGGAGATGGCAGGGGCTCAGAGCGTGTGGCAGATCTTGCCTCCCCTGTGTGCCAGCTGTCCTTGGACACATGGGGTTGCCACAAATGTGTTCGTGGGGAGGCTAAGGGAGCCCTTTCCAGCTGAAGTTTGATGTTCTAGACTGAACCCTTATTGAATCCATGTTAACAATCCCAGGCCATGGCCAGCCCTCCCATCTGTGCAGAGCAATATTGTAAGGCTGCCTGTCAAATAAAATATACTAAGCACATTAACCCAGGGACAGCTGATTGTGCACCCACTGAGAAGCACCATTATGGAGGTGACATTGTGCCTACTCCTCTATTCTCCAGGATAAAACCAAACAGATCTCAGGAGTTGCAGGGTTGTTTCCTTTCTTTTTTTTCAAAACTAAGAGCACTTCTTAAAATGCATCTGGTATAATTACAGAAAACTGCTCAGGGTTTTGTGTTCTGTCAGAGCAAACAGCTCAAATACTGTATGGGAAAATTGAGGACATTATCGTAATAATGCCTTGTCAATCACTTGGGTGGGATATTACTAGCAGTACTGTGTAATACTTAGAGACGCTCTGAAATGGTACGAGTATTTCAGTCTTCCACATGCAAATAGCAAACAGAACAGTTTTTTTAAAATCCTATCTTGATGTGAATGCTTTGCTTATGCCACAGGGAAGAAGCCTGTTTAAAACCAGTGGCCTTTCCCCATTAGATATGCCAGGTGCTTTGAGGTTGCAGCCACCAAGGCTTCTGTTTGGGCCTCCAGAAGATTGTCTTCCAAAGGAATCCTAATTTTGCTTTTTGACTTGTGCAATTCAGTCTATTCTTATGGTGGGCAATGCACTTTGGAAATTATCTAGAGCAAAATTTTAACCCCTAGCTGGTTTTCCTAGCTATCCAGCAAGTTTTAAAATGATCTTAGGATCAACACTGCCTGATAATATGGAAATGCAAACAATTTTTCATGTTGACATAGGCAAAACAACTGAGGGAACTCTATTGTCCCTATACAGTAATCGTGAACCTGGTAGACATGAATCTGGGGACCTGTAGCTCCTGTGGGCATTTCAAGACTGCTTTCCTTCATGGTACAGAGGAAGCTAGCAGAGAAGGGGCAGTCTTCCCTCTAAGTCATTAGAAATGGTCTTTTGATGCAATTTGTGCCAAGTCCATCCTCAATTACCAACAAGAAGTATGACTCTATTTTCAGTGTTGTAAAGAAGTATGTTTAAAACAGCATTTTAAGGTTGATTAATACATTTATGATTAAAGAAGAGTTAAAAACATCACTTATAACTTATATGTCTAGTGCTGTAAACAAGTGTAGGTAAAGAGCATTTTAAAGTTGGCTTCTATATTGTTATTGAGAAAGCCATTCCAAACATGGAACCACAGAGCTTGCACAGACTTTACTGAGCAGTTCTGGGCCAGTCCTAGAATTTTGGGGGTGAAGGAGTTTGCCCCAGTTCAGTAGAAAGATTTTGCCTATGGCTGCAGCAGGGCTACAACCCCTATCCTGCCCTGACCCCGTTTCAGGGCTGTTTTTTTTCCCCCTCCTGTTCTTACCACCTGCTCATTATTATACAGTTTATACTTTTAGCTGGTAAAAATAAAGAATACAGATCAAAAATGCCATTCTTATATCTTTTCCCTCCCCCACAGGCTGAACAGGCAAAGGAACAAATGAAATTTTAATCAATGGCATCAGGAAATTAAAAAAAAAAAATCAGCCTGATTCTTTTGGACATGATCCGACCCCCAGAAAAACAGTGTTTTTTTCTAGCTCCTGATGTGAGCTGGTTCAGTCTCATACATCTCCAAAGACACATGGAGAATCTACATAGAGTTAGACTGGTCACAGCCACGCCTCTGAAAAGCCCCTCTGAGATGAGATTCCCTGTATCATTCAGGTCAGATCCCGATTCCTGTATTCATGGTCAAGGTGGTGCTGGCTTTTGTCAGGTGATACAGGAAGGCAGGCAGCCTGTCTGTTTGATGTTTTAAGTATGGAGATAAGATCTCACACCAAACCCTGAAAACACAAAGTAACAAGTCTTGCTAAGCATTTTAGTGTTTGTTTGGCTGGTAATCTGATATAAATTATTTTTGCTTTGTTTACTTTTGGGGTACTATATATTCACTGCAAATATGTTACCAGATAAGGAACAAAGGATCTTTAATTTTGAAACATGTAATTGTCACATATGCAATAACACTCTTTTTAGCACCCCAGGAGGGTGCCTTGATCAGCTCTATTTCTTTTTGGGGGGCTTGTGTGACTGTTTATAATTCCAGTTGAACTGGTATTCGTTTCACAATTGCAGTTTTGCGAAAAAGGAGGTAGCAGGGTTATATAGTGACACTGGTCACCATCTGGTCCACGATGTGAAATTTATGCATGAATGTATAGAAAATGAATGTTCTAAGCAGATAAACAATAAGAAAACATCTTTACCTTTCTCTCTTCCACAAATCAGGTAAAGATGTGGCCTCTTTTTGTTGTTGTTTGGTTTTTGTTTCTTTCCTTTTGGCACTGGGGATTAAATCCAGAGCCTTGTGTATATGCTAAGTGCATCCTCTATTATTGAGTTGTGCCCTAGCTCAAGATGTCCTTTACTAGCTTAGCATGAAGTTTAAATAGTAGCTGCATCTTTTGAACCAAGAAGTATTTCAGACCAGCCTCTGGCTTGGGAAAGAGTTAAGGCCATTGCTGGGGGCTGTCTCCTTTGGTTTCCTCCTTAGCTTGTCATTGTCTGGATAGTCTGCTTTTTATCAAGCCAGCACCAGTGGCTTAATTTATTTCCATAGTTACCTAGTATATTTGAAAGCAGTTATGTTTCCTCGCAAATTTTAGCTAACATCTGAATGACAAGGAGGAAGCCACAGGGCATGAAATCTCTACAGATCTGCTGGGGTTATTTTTTCCTCCAGCTTTAGCCAGTTGGTCTGGAGTGGGCTTTGTAAGAATAAGCAGTGACCTTTTCAGCTTCTCAGCAGACAGGGAAACCAGCTGTTTGGAAAGGGATCTCCCATCCTAGACAATGACAGAGTCTTTGCTTTGAAATCAGAAAAACCAGCAGTGGCATTAGAGTAACTCTCATGGGAGCAAAGCCATCCTTGAGTTGTGTGTTCTAGCCCAGGGCTAACACAGAGGGAAGTCAGAGTCCATGGCTCACAGAACAACCTGTGTGCATATCATAGCTGAAAAAAGACCAGCTGGCTGAAGCATTCAACCTAGCATGAACCTTGTTTCATTTACTAAATGATCGACAAACTTCCTGTTACTTCTGAGCTGATTGAAAATATCATTGTGTTCATTGATGTTCACTTCCTGTCCCACCTTTTAGGAGTGTGAGTGTGCTGAGATACTGGAAGGGAGACAGTGCCTCTGTCTCATCTGGCAGTGGTTTGCGCACTATAGGGTCTCTACCTTGTGTCCTTCCCTTTGTCATTTACTGTGGTAGAGGGAACTATGGCCTTAGCAAGCTTAGAGTCTGCTTTAGTCTCTGTAGCAAAGTTAAACTACTTGCTAGCATTAGAGAATAAGTATTAATCATTAGTGACCATCTGGGGACATATGGGGTTACACAAGTAGCATAATTTTTATTGTTTTACATGTTTTTCTGCAGAGTCGATATATGGTTTTTAGCCTTATTCAAATTGGATTAACTTCTCCCTGAGGCTAGGATGAATTAGAAGGGGAATGACACTGGGACATTTGGTTAAAGGTTTTCTGAATCAGAGCTACCTCTGCTAGCAATAGTTTAATTGAGATGGCATTGAATTGAGACAGATGACCAACTCAGACATTTATGAATAATGTCACTTGAGCTTCTGTACATTTAGAGACATTATGGGAGACATTAAGGAGAAAGGGCGTTGGTGTTCTGCCCACTACTCAATGACCTGGGGGCACTGGACAGCCCTCCCTCTGAGGTGGGTGTGCAGGGCTGGAAGAGTTTGAAGCTGGAGCCCCAGGAGAGACCCTCTGTATCTTCTTTGCCTTGGTCTGAGCACTAGGGAAAGATGTTACTAGCACTGACCACAGAGCAGCACTGCCAGTGTTGAGAGTGCAGACGTGTGTGTCCAGCAGTGAGAGGCACTGTGAGCACAGGTGTATGTGCACAGCCTTCCCTCTTGGATGATCTGCTCTGCTTCATCAAGATGAGGGTGAGGACTGGCCAGCCTTTGCCTTTGCTTCCAGCTTTGCCGTTCAGTTATTCAGTAATGCTTTGCTACGATCCCAGAGGAGTTTAAAAAAGACAGTAGCTTCAGAATTTCTACAGGAATGGAGCACTTGGCCTAGGGAAAAGACCCCTGTGTAGGTGCATAGCCTTGTGAGCCCTCCATCCCGTGTGCCACTGGAATCATCCATCTCTGGGACTGGTGTCCTCACCAAAATATATATTGGCAGGGCAGGACACACAGCAGTCACCCACAGTATACCCTCTGGCTGAATTCGGGTCTCTGAGTTGTAGTGTTGGCCATCCAAAAAGCAGGCATGTATGTAACTTCCCCAGGAATGTCATGAGAATCCCAGGTCACCTTTACACTACTAGTTCCATGCTTACACTCAGCCCCCTGGGAAGAGGGGTCCCAGAGGTCCAGCCTGCTCCATCTGTGCCCTGCTGGGTGACCTGGGCTGCTGGCCAGATTGCAGTCTGGTGTAGTATCATTGGTGGGGTAGGGCCACAGACAGGTGTTGTTGCATTTTCTTGAGTTTCATCCCCAAACCACCTAGTGCTTCTGCCTGCAGAGTTTTATGTGGCTGCAAGGATGGCTCTGGAGTTCAAGGGCTCCATGTTAGAGCCCAGTAAATAACCAAAGTGAAGAACTCATGATAGACAAGCTAGCCTCTCATTCCGCCATCTTTGACACATACTTTGGCACCTCAATTACTAGATTCTGCAGGTGTTTGGAGGGGTGAGTAGCCTATGTCTATTCCAGGCAGCTGAGAGCATAGTCGTATGTCTGCTCTTTTGCAAGAAGGGCCATGGTTGCTGAAAATGGGCTGTTTGAATCATCTCTCTGAGCTCCTGGACTTTATCCAGTGCCTAGCGGTGTTCTATAAGACCCCCTTGCTGGGGTTCTTTTGTCCTCATGAATAAGGAGCATAGAGCAGTCAGTTCTGGCTGGATGAGATGAGAGTAAGTGCCCTCTGATGGTTTTGTGAGCTGGGTTCCTGTTCACTCAATGTACTTGGAACCTTTCTCCCCCACCCCCCCTCACCCCATCTCCAATGTGAATTACAAGCTCTTTTCACTTCATATCAGGAGATCTTTGTAGGGTTTATGAAAAGAGCACTGAATATCTGAAAATTTATCACAATTTTGAGAGGCTATTTGTAATTTTGATATTTGGTTCTGGACACACATGAGTGAAATGGTTTTGAAAACTATGGGTATGGTCAGAAGAACTTTTGGAAAGATTCTATTTAAAGCCACAATATGTTTTTTGGCTTCCTGGGGAGGTGGTAAAGTTTGCAAGGAAAAGCTTTGCACTGGAAGAAGTGACCCCAAGTGAAATTAGCCCGATGGCATTTGACAAGTCACATTTTCATGCCTCAGATTCTTCACCTGTGAAATGGGGAGGCAACCGGCTATCTTTTGGAAACAATTGAGTTGCTGGGTGTCACCTTTAAAAGATGGTGCTGTGATGGTAACTTTTCATGAAAACCTGGCATAGAAGAGCCTTTTCAGCATGTGACTTTCTGCCTTCTTGGGTTCATTTGGTTCCTCTTCAGTTTCCTGGGGACCAGGGAGAGGAGAAGAAGCCTGGAGATGTTTGGAGCTGTTCTGAGTTATTATTGCCAGTAATAAGGCAATAATTCAGTCAATGTTGGCTCCTCCTCCTTGGAGCAGAGGGGCCAGGAAACTGTAGGTATAGCTTATATCCCCCCACCCCAGCCCCTGCACAACAGGGACAAAGCTGTCTGCTTATTTCACCAAAACACAAGGAAAAGAGGGAGAACAAGAGAGGGAATGAAATACAAGGAAAAGAGGGAGAACAAGAGAGGGAATTAAATTTCTGTGGTATCTTACATGCTCCAGACTCCATCTTTCTATTCTGGTCCTGGGAGATGGGCAGTGGTCTCTCCTTGGGCTGAAAGGAGTGTTGCCTGGGTTGAGGAACAGAGTGTCCAGCCAGACATGATACAGAAAGCACAGGGACTTTGCACTGTCCCTTGCTTGGTGCCTGAGCCCTGTGTGGGCAGTGGTCTTACAGATTGGATTTTGAATTTTTGCACAGAATGTGAGACCTGTCTTTCTAGGTTGGCCTCACTGGGGTCTACAGGGAAGCAGGGCTTAAAATCTTGCTTCCTAATGCCTCTTAGACAAACTGCTGTTGTCTCTGCTGCCAGGTGAATTACTTGGTGGCCTTTTACCAGAGTCATTTGATTACACTTGTCCCTTTGGGGATATTCTAGCAAAGACTGTAATTAAAGGAATAATAACAAAAATTGATGGAAATTGGGGCTGTGTTGGGTTACTTGCCAATATCGTGTTAACATTTATTCCAGAGAAATTTCTGTTCAGAGTGGCAGTCCTTAACTGTATTCACGTTCCAAGACAGTCAAACACAAAAAGGTCACATAGGAAGCTCTGAGTTTATGAATTTTTAGAAAAGTCTACCAAACATTTATCTGTCTGGTCCCTGAGGGTAACCAGGACAGAATCAATATCAAGCCTTAAAAAATACACCCAGCAGTCACTGGATTTTCCCCGTGTTTGTTTCGCAGAATTGGCTATCCAATTCCAATGTTTGCAGGATTCTGCATCATGTTTATTTCAACAATTAGTAAGTGTCTCATGTTTTCCTTCTGAGGGTGGGGTTTGGAATGAGATCCCACCAGCTGAGATCAGACTACACCTGGGAGTTGTATACAGGCAACTGTAGCAGAACAGAGCAGACAGGGGAAGGCTTCATGGGAGAGAAGCACTGTGTCGTGAATATGGAAATGCACCTTTACTTGAGGGAGGGGCTTCAAGTTGCCTGTTGGGATGGTCTGGTCCTACTACTGGTAGGAACATGACCTTGATGTGTGTGTGGGCCTCTTCTCTTGGCAGTGTTTGCCTTCTCCAGCAGCTATGCCTTCCTGCTGATTGCCAGGTCCCTGCAGGGCATTGGCTCTTCCTGCTCATCTGTAGCTGGTAGGTGTGAAACCACCTGTTGGAGGGGAGGGCCCTTCACACAGTTAGCTGGACTGATTTAGGGACTCAAGGTACTGGGGAACTTGGGGGAGATTTCTTGTAGAAGGTGCCCACCTTCCCCTTAAATTCACCTTGATCCATATTGTAGTCAATCCCACAGGACTGGGAAGAGGCTGGTCTGACTGGGGAAGGAGGGCAAGTCATGGAGGATTTTTTTGTGCTCCCCAGAGTGTGGCTACTGACTGTGTCTTCTCCTGTTTAGGGATGGGCATGCTTGCCAGTGTGTACACAGATGACGAAGAGAGGGGCAATGCCATGGGGATCGCCTTGGGAGGCCTGGCCATGGGGGTCTTAGGTGAGTAAGAACCACCATTGCAGGCAGGGCCTGTCCGGCATTGGGTAGCAGTGGTCCTTGCCCATGGCTGTAGCCACTGTGGGGCCACGTCCACCTTCATATGGACAGACGCCCCAGCCCTCCCCACTCTATTTCCTACCTTGATAGAAACTTTGGGAAAACCCAGGAAGAGTCCTGAAGTGGGAGGCTCAGGGCTTCCTTGGCCTCTGCCCCAAACATCCGTGGGCCCAGGTGTAAAATACAGGGTTCAGCAGGGTCGTCTGCCAGACCCCATCATCTCCAGCGTTCTGTGAGTCAGGAGCTCCACTCTACTTGCCCCGCCGAGGTCCCAGGCCAGGGGATTTGGATCCTTCCCCTGGCTTTCACTTTGGATGTGGTGGTTTCCACTGTGCTGGTGGATGAGGGGTGGAGACTGTGTCCCTTCCCCGGCTACAGAGGCAGCACAGGCCTGGTTCATGTTCCTCTGAGGCCTTTGCCATTGGGGCGGCCTTTGTATACTCTCCCCACTGGTCACATGAAAACCCACCTGGGGGGTGTTGTCAAGGCAACTTGATACTAACTAAAAAGAATGTAAGGGTGTGCACTCCAAATCTTTTTTTGCAACAAAGCAGAGAGAAAAATATAAAAATCAAATTGAGGGTTCAACGTGAGGAGAGGCATGCATCCACCAGGGCTGGGTTGGCCCCCTCTCTCTTCCTGCAGTGGGTCCCCCCTTTGGGAGTGTGCTCTACGAGTTTGTGGGGAAGACTGCTCCATTCCTGGTACTGGCTGCCTTGGTGCTCTTGGATGGAGGTGAGTGAGGTCCCTTGGGCCCCATGGCTGTGACCTTGGCATTCGTGTCAGCATGTGATTGGGTCATGTGTGCTTCCTGAGAAGAGGATCAGCTGTGCTTTTCCCTTGTAGTTATTCAGCTCTTTGTGCTTCAGCCATCCCGGGTGCAGCCAGAGGTAAGAATCTGGGAACTGAGGGCCCCATGGTGGTTCTGGTGACTCTTCTGACCCCTCTTTTCACTTGACAGAGTCAGAAGGGGACACCCCTAACCACCCTGCTGAAGGACCCATATATCCTCATCGCCGCAGGTGGGGCTCCTGGATTCTTCTTGGTCAAGGCTGTGCATGCTGGAGGTGGGGATGTGGGGTGGGTGCCCATTTGCACTTAGCTTGCTGGATATGTGGAGCTGTAGAAGAACATGACGTTTATAAGACTCAGGAAGTCATTTTTTTTCTGCCATTGTTTTCTGATTGTCTGCCGAGGTTTTTTTTCTTTTCACTTGGAGCAAATGTAAATGATGAGTGTGGCATTCTGCAGAGCTGCCAGTTTCCTGGGATGCCATTACTGTCTTTGTGTCAAAGGCCATCATTACTTGACCTTGAACTTTCTGGAAGAGCATGGTGGCCTTATCACAGGGATCTGATTCCTTTGGGCATGTGTGAATAAAGACTACGGCCAAGTCCCAGAGGGCCCAGAGGTCACCCTTCCTGCTCAGCAGTAGGGAGGCTGAGGCAAGCACTCTTTAGGGAAAGGCCGTTAGGTTCTTGGCCTGCACAGGCTAAAAGAAACCTCTGGGGTTCTGTGGTTCTGATGATGGAAAACAGCCCTCATTCTCCCAGGTGAGTGTCTAAGATTGTCCCAGTGGCCACAGGCCACTTCTGTGCCAATCCTGGGGCTGCCCTCCTTCTGAGGGCCCAGCCTTTGGCAGCAATGTGCTGAGGCCAGTGGTGGCCCTGGAGTCAGGTGGCAGAAAAGGGACTGGCTGTGCTCTACTCTGTAGTGAGGAGTCAGATCCAGAGGGGTCTGAGCAAGGCTCCCACACTCCAGGAGGTGGGGGTGCCAGGGAGAACAGGGCCCTATCCTCCTCAGGGTCTTTATTTTTATTATTCATTTTTGCATACTGGGGTTTGAACACAGGGTCTTAAGATTGCTAGGGATAGCTCTATCACTCGAGCCATGCCCCCAGCCTTTTTCGCTTTAGGATGGGTTCTCACGTCCCTCACTCCTACACCTTTCCCATCTCACCCCAGTGATCCTCCTAATCTTGCCTCCCAAGTAGCTGAGATTACAGGGGCCTGGTGCCCTGAGGATATTCAAATCCAGCCCCTTTCAAAACTCCAGGCTGGTCTGCTAAACATAATTTAAGGGCTGGAAAGCTGGTGTTGTGACCTCTTCATGCAGTGGGGACCTCAGAGTGCAGGCAGCATCCCAAAGCTGAGGCACCCCAAGAACCCTGGCTATCTGAGATGGGATGAGGGCACGCAGGAGGTGTAGTCCCAGAGATGTGACTCCCCAAACCTTGAGCATTTCTGGGCAGGACTGTGCAGCCTGATCCCTTCTGCCTTGGGTTTCTTGGAGCCTCACCGTGGAAGAAAATGCCAAGACATATCCAACACTAACTGGCAGATTATAAACAATTCTGTTTCTGGGAGAGGGTGGTTGGGAATGAGCTGGGTAAAAGGAGTCCAGCCATTTGTCTATTCTGCCTTTAAATGTCACAAAGAATGAAAAAAAATCTTTCTTCATTGTGTACACACCTTCACGATCATACAATGTTCTTTGAATTTGTTCTAGTAAATTATAGGTTCCATGGAACACAACACAGGAAGCTCTGTGTGTCTTTTTCCAGATGGTTCTATTTTTAAAAATGGTCTGTTTGACAGAGTGATAATGAATATTTGCATAGTTACCCTATATGGGTAGTTGATTAAAAAGAAAAAATCCCTACACAGCACACCTGTACCACATGTACCACGAGCCTTGGATTTTCTGGCATTTTAGGCACCATTAGAAATGTCCATGCTCATTGCACAATAAGACAGTCACAAGAGTTTCAGGCTGCCCCAGCACTGTGTGTGGTCTGAAAATTGCTCAGCTGCCATGCTGCCTCAGGCAGCTTCATTCACAAACTAGAGCTCTTTTTCTTCATTAATAAGTTGGGTAGGTTAAACCAGGTGGTCTTTTTAGGCTGTTTCCAGTTCCAATCTTTATGACTTCAGGATTCTACTTGTTTAAAATTATAATTATAAGTACCCCTTGCTCTTCTCTGAACTTGCTGTTCTGGGTATCTGAGCTGTGCGTGCACGGGGTCTAAGTGTTCAGAGATGGCTGAAGACCCTCAGTACGGAAGCAGAAACACACTAACCATTTTTCCCCCTTCAAGGTTCCATCTGCTTTGCAAACATGGGAATTGCCATGCTGGAGCCAGCTCTGCCCATCTGGATGATGGAGACCATGTGTTCCCGGAAGTGGCAGCTGGGTAAGGAGTGAGGCTCTTCTGAGTCTAGAACTTTCATTCCCAAGGCAGGGCCTGTCAGCCTAGCCCTACTGAGCTGCCTGTAGCAGGATGATAAAGGATTGCTTCTGTTCAGCTCTTACTGGCTCAGTGCCTAGGGCAGCTTTGGGTTCTGTTTCTGCTCCAGTTTTTTAAAATCATTCCTGATGGATGTATCACATGAAAGAAAAAGTATTGAGAGAGAGAGAGTATTCACATTCATTTTGTAAAAAGCACTGTAATAATTGTACTATTTCATTATTATTATTGTTAATCTACTGTACCTGTTTTATAAGTTATAGTTCATCATAGGTATGTATGCGAGGAAATGTGTGCATATGGAGTTTGGTACTATCCATGGTGTCAGGCGTCTACTGGGGGTCTTGGGATGTGTTCCTCACAGGTAAGGGGAACTCCTATAATTGCATCACGGTGTTTTGGTTAGATTGGTATTTAGCATTGACTTTAGGGTGACTGAGTGAATATTGTTCCAAGCTGACCTTTGTAGACATGGGTACTCTAATTAAGTTCCTTCCTTTTTAACAAGCTTGTTTTCCCCAGATTTAGTCACTGACTTGTCTCTGCATTTTCTTATTTTTCTATGTCACAATTGTGAACCCATCCCCCAGACTCTCTGGCAGAAACAGAGGATTCTCTGAGTGTAGTTCAGTATGCCAGCGGGATCCTTATGGTTTTGCTTGTTGTGGACATCTGTCTTTGCTCTCCAGTTTAGATGTGGTGCTCTCTGGGGCATGCTGAGACATTCCTGTCCATCATTTGGGTGTCTTCTTTGCCTCCCTTGTTTCTGGTGTCCTTCTCTCTCATGTCCTTTCTTGGTTTTTCTCCCCACTATGAGGGAACACATACTTTAGCACCATGGCCTGAGATCCTGGGTGTGTGCAGACACCTTCACCCTCTCCTTGCACTTGGTTGGCTTAGTCTGCCTGTGTAACTCCTGGATGGAAATCATTTCTCTTTGGTGTTTTGAGGCCACCATTCTATTAGCTCCTAGCACACAGGGACACTGCTGTGGAGACCAGGGTTGTTTTTATTCTGAGTCCTCTGTTCATTGCTCATGGGACTTTCTTCCTCTCTGGGTTATGAGTGTTTACGCTGGTGATTTGCAGCGGGGTCTGGGTGGGCACTTGCTGGGTCAGCCCTTTCACTTGGGGAGGAACCGCCTTTTTCAATTCTGGGGAGACTTTTTCTATTATTACTTTAATTAATTCTTCCCTTCATTTTCTTCTTTTATTCCACTTAGTTGGCTATTGAACATCCTGGTTTTATCCTTTTAAATTTCTTATCTTTCCTTTTTTGCTTTTTATTCATCTTAATCTTTTAAGCAGTTCATTGAATTTTTAAACTTGATGCTTTCACAACTGATACTGTAGTTTGCACCCTGAGTGCTGTTTTGTGTGTGGTGGTTGTTGAAATAGCACCTTCTCACCATCTTAGTAGGGAGACATTCATTCCATCCCCAATTCTACCTCCCTGCTGCCCCTGGTCTGCTGGTCTCCACACTGCCCAGAACTCCTGGGGTCCGTGAACAGTTTCAATTTAGCTTCTCTAGAGAGATTGTCTCCTGCCAGGGGTTGGGCAGAGGATTGGGGGGTCCGATTGCTCTCAAAGCAGCCTTCCCACCTTCTTCCTGTTGGCAGCCCAGGCCAACTCATCTGACCCCTCAGATCCTGGTCTTTCTGGGTTATGAGGCACGGGGGTCTCACTTCTTATTGGCATCTCCACATGTAGGCAGAAGGTTCTCTGTGTCCATCACTATTTTCCCTATTACTGCTTCTTCTCCCCGCCCATTCTGTCTGACCTCAGGCAGGTGCAGAGAGGAGGGGTTGGTATGTGTGTCTAGAAATTTTATTTATTCTTTAAAAAGGAGTTTGGGGTGTAAGTGGAATAAAATCTATAGTCTCAGACCACCCCATTTAAATGGTAGGCAATACAGTATTCGTTTTAATGGCTCGTGTTGTCCTCTTTCAAGATCATACAATGTATTTTCAACCAGTGCCTGCTGTTGGGCATCTGGGTTAGTTCCTGTTTTTGCCATTAGAAACTATTGCAGATGATCCCTCTTACGTGCGTTTGGAAGCATCGCTGTAGGACACTGCAAGGCATGGTACTTCTGTACTAACACACGTATCATCAGTCTTTCCCAATCAAGTATGTAAGAATGGGGGGGTATATCGCATTTCAATTTTGTTTTACAAATGAATGAAATTGAACAAATTTTTATAGCCATGTGTATTTCCTTTAGTATGGATGTTTATTGGTATTCTTTGGCCATTTATCTGTTATTTGTCATTATTCATCTTAAGTGCTCTTTGCATATATGATATTAATCCTTTATCAGAAGTTTAACAAATATTGCCCTTGCTTGTTGTTTCCTCCCTTCTATGTCTTTGTCACTTCAGGTCCAGCTCAGAAAGGCCTTTCTCATGTCAAGAGTATTTAAAAAAAAACAACTCATATTTTTCTTTAATTTATTCATGATTTTTTATACCATAGTGTTGGGTTCATATGAAATTAATTTTGTCCTAAGGCATGTGACAGGGATGTGGTGCTTTTGCTTTCTGTGTGGCCGGCCACTGTCCTAGGCCATGTCTCTAGGAGTATGTCTAATGTCCCATCTCCATGGTTCTCTGAATGACCATGTGTTCTGGGGCCTGTTTTTGGATTCTCTCTTCTGCTCCATTGCTCTGTCTGTTGTTCTTGTCTCAGGATCTCTCTGTTGAATCATTTGCCTTTATTTCTGGAAGGCTAGGCCCCACAATATAGCTTTTTCTTTGTGAATTTATTGATTATCCGTCCTAGAGATTTTTTTTTTTTCATAGTTCTTTCAACTCACACATGGATGTCTTCATAGAGAGACTAAGTTCTGACTTAGGCTGGCATTATCAATGCTCTCTACCTTTGTGCTGGTGACCTTATCCATCCCCATCTCCCCCACTTCCATCCTGGTGCATCCAACCTATGCTGGGGGAGTCTTGTGACTCCTTGCTTAGCCCTTCCCCTGTTCTGTCTGCCTCACAACACATGGCCCAGCCTAAGTACCAGTCCGTCGGGATCTGCCTTGACTTGCTTGTGTTCTTTTGTCAATCAATCCTTAAAAGGCCCGATAGGGATAGGGTCTGGGATGCCAATGGGAAGAGGATACTAATGGGCATGAGGTTTCTTTTTGGGGTGATAGCATCTTCTGGATCTTAGTAGTGATAATGGTTGCATGACCTTGTGAATGTGCTAAAAACCACAAAGCTACACTGTAAAGGGTGAATTATACAGGATATGAATTATGTCACAAAACAAGCCTCAACTAACAACATTTTTCTTGAAGCTAAACTAAGGCCATTTCTCAGGCAGAAAATGTAGCTGTGCCCTTCCTAGCAGTCAGGGCAGAAGAGAAAGCCTCAAGCCATTGGCCTCTCCTGGAAAGGTCACCACTTGGCAGGAGGGGCACTTTCTTCTAACTGTCACTCAAAGACAGCACAGAAGACACTGGCATTCTTGTCTTGCTGTTAGTGCCTGCTTCTGTCTCTTGCAAAAATGTTTCCCAGTTTCTCCTTCCCCTTGGTCCTTGGGGGACCCAGGGTGGGTCTGAGATGTTCTCAGCAGGCACTGCCTGTGCAAGGGTGTGACTCCCAGTTGAGCTCTTTGCTCTAGGCTGTAGTTTCCCTGATGTCTCCACTTAACCAACTTAGGATCCTAATTGAATGTGTCCTGGCCTTGCGCAGGGCACTTAAGCTGCTCTACTCTCTGTTCTCCAGACAGAGCCTGAGGCTTTCTCTGTAAAGTCTTTAAGGTTAACCAGGAGCCCCAGGCCATGGGGGTGAGATAGCAGAGCAGGCTGCCAGGATGTCACGGGGAGATCATCTTGCTGGCTGGTTGTTCACTTGACCAGCACTGCACAGTTCTGTCTCTGAAGCTCTTCCTTCTGTTGCCTCCAAGGGAGGTTTGTCTTTCTTCAAGAGAATCCTCTTTCTTACCTGCTCCCTCAGCTCCAGTGTCAGGGGAAACACTTCACCTTAATGGGTCTCTGCAGCTTAGGGTCCATGGCTCCTACAGGTCTCAGGACCCTGAGCCTGAGCACTCCTTGGGAGGTGCAGTGCAGTGTGGAGGACACAGGGTTCAAGGCCAGCAGCTCTTTCCCTAGAGCTGCCCCTGTGGCCTGGCCCCTGGATACCCCGGAGTCTCTGGTCGCTGCCCCAGTCCAGGGTGAAAGGGCCTTTGTGCTTCCCTGCCTGGGGTAAGAGCAAACAGTTCTGTTATCCGTGTGGGTGACACATGATCGCGCTGGTTGGGCCACAGTTTCAGGGGGCATCCCATCCCTGTTCCAGAGGACTCCCTTACAAGTCTCCCCCTAAACCCTCCTCTGTCACTTGGTGAGAGGTCCTCAGTTGGAACTGGTGGGGAAAGAATCATTTCATGGTGTTTTCTTTTTACCTTAAGTTCTAGGTCAAATGACCTCCATCAGACAACCTTAATGCTTAGGAACTGATTTCAGGGTGAGGCTTATGAGTCCCCAAAGAGATCTTTAGGCCTTGAGGAACAGGCTCCAGACAAGGATGGAGCTAAACTCTTCCCTTTGGTTCTTCTGGCACATTTTTCTTCGATGAGATGTGGTGATACGGTGTGGGATGGGAGAAAGGACACCTGCCTGCTAGGCAGGAGGCCCATTCTGTTCCTAGCCAGCTCTGACCTCATAGGCTGTCCTGTGCCAGCCCAGTAGGGTGCCAGAAGACAAGTGCATATTGCCATTTTTCTCTGGTTCGGGACGTGACTCAGCCATAAGCCTGCTTTAGCCCAGGCCAATCTCCCATCACCCTGTTGTGGTCCAGGCAGAGCACCCTGGGATGTGCAGGGATGGCTCACGTGGAGCTTGGAAGAAGCCAGAGGACTTGTTCCTATGGGGCTGTGGGACTGAATGTCTAGTGCCAGATTCCAGCAGCCATCTTTGTGATGGGTAAACCACTCCCTGGTTT